AAGAAAAGACTACGCGGACGACAAGTCGTCAAAGAGAACTTGCTATTGGTATGATCGCAGTGTTCACAGAATATGCCGGCAAATTTAGAACAAATTTTATATGCTATACATTTTAACCTACAAACGTTATATAGGTGTTCCATCTCGAACAAAATTGAGGTAGGTTGCATGCATACGGCACCCCAGCTGATTATCGAATGAGTTTCGTCAAAAAAAGAGAATATGTATATATATATATAATACCATCGCGTTGATAACAGAAACAGGAAAAAGAACTAACTTGAACTCTTATTTAACATTCAAAGCAGAAATAGAAGTCAACATAACTGAAAAACCTAATATATAGATATTGACATACAGTTTATTCGATTGATTCTTCGCTGCTACTATCTAGTTTTTTAAAGTCATCAAAATCTTCTTTAATAATATCTTCTAAATATTCAATTAAACCTTGTCGAAAGGCGACATCATTGACTTTTTCCCTCATCAACGCAGGTGTCAAGTCATGGTCTAACCAAACCAGCATGTGTATATGCAATGAGCCACGCCCTTGATTTTCAATCGTTCCGTAATACGTTATGACAGGTCCTAAAGCACCACCTTTTATTGTTGTTTCAATAATAGTACTAATAAGTTTGTGAAAGAACCGAGCTATTGCTACCGGATTCTTGGCACAAATCTGTGCGCGTTTATATGACGATTGTGGATAGTTGTCATCGAGAATTTTATCCAAATCCAAATTGACTCCGGCGAAATACATTGCAACCGGACTGTGAATATCTGCCGGATTAATTGTTATAAAAATATCGGGTAATCCACTATGATAAATAAGTCCATGAATTTCATTTCGAAGAGAGCCACGTGATTGACATGAACCCATAACATGACTACCAACAGTTTTTATATGATTTAACAACATATTCAGACGGGGATTCTCTTTTGCGCTGTATTTATTTTGGCTAATACAAGCTAAAGCCGATTGAATTTCTGCTGCTGTTAAAGTTTGTAATTGCACAGCATTCTGTCGGAAATATGGTCGTGAAACTAGCAGACGTGCTTGAAAACATGCGTTACGTTTCTGTAGTATATTGAACGCAACGAACATAAATGAATAATGTCGTTCAAAACGTCTGTCCTGGTAAGTCAATAAGTACTGGATGTGTCGCTTAAAAGCAACTTTAACAGGACGTGTATCGTCCTCAACTGCACCACTTCCATATGGAAACAAAGTGGGAAATAATCCTAAACGACAAAAAATATTGAAGGAAACGAGTTAGGCATAGTAAGCTTATTGTCTTGTTCGTTCGTTTTAACTCACCCATTAATAAATTGGGGTTATAGTATTCGTTCACAGGTTTTGATCCGCGACGAATATAATATTCGTTATTTGCGGTACATGTTTGTGGATCATTTAATGACTGTTTGTTGAACTTCGATGTTAATTTTAAGATATGATCATTGATATCTTTGGCACTCACATTTGTACCATCCGTATCCACTACTCCGCTACCCAATAAAGGTACTGAATCATCTTCCTCATCGTCATCAGAAGTGGCACTTGGAAGATCCGGCACATAACTAGATCGCTCTGTAGTTGCTGCTTGGACGTCTGTTGTTACATGCATTGTTTGTAATAGTGATACAGGTACATCATCTTCAGGTAATTGACCGACATTATCCATATCAATATTAACATCTTCGTAAAATGGATTGTATTTTTTGAGCCATTTCAATGCACTCAGTACTTTCTGTTTACGTACCCTAAACACCGCGAATTCCTTTTTCTCCGGTGGATTTTCACCCACGAAGATTATTTTAATGCTGTCACACAAATCATTTAACGATAGTGGAAGCTTTCTGACTATTTCTGGTACATCTTGTGGAAAGGTTATCACGTTCCCTTGTGTTTTCGACTGTTGAGTAGAAGGATCACGTGATTTTTTTGTGACAAACTTAGCAACACATCTACTATGACGGTAAACTGATATTAATTTTAATTCGGCGATTGATAATACTTTCAATTCATCAGGCACGTCACCGATCCACATTTTGTTTCCAGCAGAAAATTTTGGTAATTTTGCTTTTTTCAGACTGCTGACGCAATCATGACAAATGTTGCCGATGGTATTCTCATTTGCTACTTTCATCCCAGTTTCAAATGTTAAATCGTGGATATACAACAAAATATCGTTAAAAGACACATAAGACGAATGTGTATTTAATGCATTTAGGTGATCTAATAATAGAAAAACGAAATAATTGAAAATATAACTGATTTCGTATGAAGGAACTAACTTACCTTTGTTACTAACGGCATTGGTGCACGTTAGTAATTTGATGTTCGGAATTTCAGATAACTTGAATTGTTTCATCTCTTTGGTATATGATAAGGCATTGCACACGCAGCATACAGATTGAGACAAGTTTGCCATCGACATCTTATCATAGAAATTTTCCAGACATTTAACTTTAATTTCCATTGGTATAGCCGATGGCCAGTGCTGTTTCAGTGCGGTGGACTTTTTCTCTGTGTTGCGTTGCCGACGATTTTGACTAACTTTTCCAATGCGCACTGCTCTTGATTCAGCACATTGGTTAAGGCGAGCTTCAGCAGTACGTGTTTTGTTATTCATCAGTCGGCTTGAGCGTTGCGTTTGTGTTTCNTTCATTGGCACGAGATGATTCTGAACGTTCTCTTTGGTGCGATAGGCGATTTGTACGTTGAGCTTCATCTTCGTTTGCCCTAATAACCCTCTTTTGCCGTCGCTGTTTTTCCCGGTCTGCGTCCGATCCATTTTTTCTAGCCTTTGCAGGCCGCAACCATAACTTTTCTCGTCGTGCATCTTTTGGCTCCTAAAGTAAGTAAAAGTAAAAAACAATAACAATGAAAGTCTGGTTTAGACTTACTGGTAAATCAAACTGAGGAGTTCTTATCGACTGTATTTCGCTGGTTTTTACCGTTGTTTTGAAGGGAGTCTAAATATAGAATTCAAAGGTTTGGCATAGTGAATCTAACTTGATTCACTTAAAGAACGTACTTTTTGTACGTTTTCAGAAAGGTCATAGATCACTTCGCCTTGGCTGGCGTTGCTAGCCGAAGAACCGTGTACAGTACTAATTTGTAATCCAGTTGAAGACCCAGGTGGTAACAGTAATGGTACGAAATGATTTGGAGACCAAGTACCATCATTGCAAGTTTTCGCCACATCTTCTTCTAACGTATGGTTCCACAGAAGTGATATTTCATGATGTGCAACGATACCAGATGGCGGTGTATATAACTGGTTGGCACTGTCAGTCCAAGACGTACGATCGATATTAGGATATACAGAGCGTATATTACATTTTAAGATACTGCATAATGCCACAATTTCTATTATTTCAGAAAGCGTAAAATTTTTCACGATTCGTTGAACCTGTTCCTCCCATATTCCAAATGTATTACCGTAGTTTATCCTATACACTTGACTATTTAATACTAATTCCATCACGGTTCGTAGCCGAAGTTCGGCTGAAGACATATCATTCGATGGCATTAATCGTACAATAGAGTTGTATAAACAATTTCCGTTCCCGTCAACCCAAACTGGTATTAGACGTCTGACATTCGGATCACTGCATTTCTGCAGATATGTGTGCGCAACATGATCTATTGTATGAGTGGATGAATTATAATGTGTTTCAGGAACGTACGTTAATGGTGCTAATAGACCAGTTTTGCTGATTTGATCACATTTTAATTTAATTTGATCGAAATAATCGTCAGCACTTGAAGCAGTTTCTAACGTTTTTAACAATTGCTCACACTTTTCGTTTCGGTTTAGACGTCTACGAGTAGACATATTCTATAGAAGCTGAAACAAGAGAAGCTTTTCTTAAAACACTCTGTCGATCAGTTACAGAACTTCTACGTTCATTCGGCAGGTTATAAAAAAATGCACATCCTTCAATAATGGATGCATAAATCTGGTGGTATTCACTACATGTATACAAAGATGTGTCACATGTGTGTTAATAACCACATAAGTTTCGAAACATAATTGAAACAAACACCGTACGAGAAACAAGTCCTCAAAGAGCTTGCAAACCGATATTTTTTTTATTGTTATTGCAAGTACGAAAAAAAAGAAAATATATATGTATACAAAAGCAGGCTTTTGTCCAAAACTTTGGTCAATGTCAGTCATCACCATTAACGGTAGTATCTTCTCCAATGTATGATTCTCCGGACGTGACGACAAGAAAAGAGTTCTATTCGAGCTTGTTTGAACTTCGTATACACAGAATGCTTAACTTATCTGCTACACATGTGCTTATAGAAGATCCATCAGATTCTTGTACATCGTCATCTGTGGACGAAAAATAACTTTTTTCTTGCTTTTTGAGTGCATTTGCCCGTTTTAATTCCTTCTGTTCACCATCACGTTCTTCCCAGAACGACTCTTTTTCTTCATCTGTCATACAAGAACGTTCTACGTCATTGTTATCCCGGTGCAGTTGTCTTCCATCTTCCGCTTCCATAATTCGAGCCAAGCGCATACGGTCTCGGTGTTTTTCCCGGTCCTGCTGCTTTTTCCACGGTGTTTGCAGTAGACGCAGTCGCCGGACACGATCGCGAGTTTTAGCACGAACGACATTCTTTTCTTCATCCGTCGCATTTAACCGTGATAAACGTTTTCGATCACGGTCTTTTTCACGTTTAGCTGCAAGTGATGGACCATCTGAATTTGCTCTATGAAGACGTTGTCGGATACATGCTCTCTCGCGCTTATTAATCAGCTTTTCGTTTCCCTCTGTTGAGGTCATAGTTAGCGTAATAGGTATCTAAAATAAAACATTATATTTTGTTTCATGTTAAGTAACCAGTTTCCTATTTACAAGGAGACAGCAGGGTTATTTCGATTATATCGCTTATTGTCGGTTAATCGATGAAAACCAATAATCGTGATCTTTTCGTAAATGTCAGAGCTATATGTAAATGAACTACCTCAGGCAAAGAGCGTATGGTAAACTTTTTTATTTCAGAAATCAACATGTACATACAAAAGTCCGTTCAAATGAACCTGAAGAAAACAGAAACAGAACACAAGAAGCTGAACTGCGTTCAAGTTTATGCAAATGCCATTTTGACACTGATCTTCTACTTTTTACTGTTGCTTCTTAGCTAGTGCAACAGCTGGTGTAAAGAAGTTGGGATGACGACGTTCCATACTTATTGCAAAATCGACAAGTTCTTCATCAGTTACTTCGATAAGTTCTATATCTAAGAGCTTTCGTTCGACGGCTGCAGGTGTGTTTGTCCCAGGGTCCACTGTTACCGTATCTTCACCTACTTCATCTTCTCCGCGGCTTCTTTTATTACTTTCGTGTGCATGTTCGATTCGTGGTGAATGACTCCGTTTTACTGCTGTAGCAGCACAAAGTGTGCTTGAAGCACTTGTTTTATCACCCTCGAATAAGAGAATTTTAAAGTTTAACTTAGCACGAAGTTGTGCAATTAATAGATTGACGTACTTTTAGCTCGTTGGCGTTTTCATCAACTACTGTACTACTATTATTACTGTTAAGACTTCGTACAGCATAAGATCTTTGACTAATATTACAACGATCCGCCATTAACCCTTTTGTTTTTTGAGCAAACAGAAGTATCTATAAGCAAGGAAAGAAAATCGCAGTGTTTGTATTCTTGTATAGATCTTGCTTTTTCCTGCAAAATAGTAATGACAAATGTTTTTTGTACGTTTCAGATCGAAATACTGCTCGTAAAAAAAATTACATGATAAACTACACCGATCAATAATGCTCATAATACTAATATATCGCCAAAATCTATCTGACAAGAAAGGGTAGGACAATTAGATTCATCGTTTTAGTGATAAAAATTCACAGCTAAGAGCTGTCATTTTAGAAAACTGTTCCACTAGCAAGCAGTATGAAACTCAAAAAAATATGTGCGTCAAGCACACAATTCAAACAGCCTAAAATTAAGTATTTCCAAAGGTGAAAACAAAAGCAAAATTCTACGTCAATTAAAGGATTAAAATCACAGTATTACTAC